CCGCTCCCCTTGGGAGGTAAACTTTCCTAAGGATCGGGCTGTGCTGGCTGCCACATCTTCCTTACCGCTGGCTCTTTTGGGGGCATTTTTCATTACCTCCTCCATTCTTATTGTTTGGGCTTGCCAGGGTTGGGCCTTCCCCCCACTCCCTGCCTTTGACCCCCATGTGGGGATTTTATTTATTTTTTTTTTTTTAGGAACTTGCATGGATAAGTTCCTATCCTACTTTTTACAGTGACTGTAGGATGCTGTGTGACTGTAACTCTAGGATAAAGATTTCCATGGGACTTGGGACTTTGGGTTCTCAACTACAGAAACCTACAGGATACCTCCCTTCACCCTCCCCCTTCTCCAAAATAATTCCCTCAATAATGGGGTGGTTGACCTTAGAAACTAGAAAGCACTTGGAAGTTTCTTGATCAGATAATCTGGTGTCTCTAGTGAGAGTCTTGATAAAAATCAAGACAAATATATTCTGTAGCTTTTCCTGAGAGTCCAAACCACTTCAGCACTCTTAATGAAATTTTACAAAGTCCGTATACTTCTCTTGAAGGTTTTTCATGGGTGTCTGAAATCTTTATGGACAAATATAAATCCTAATTTAAAAAAAAATATTTTGTAATCGTACAGGCAGCACAGCAAAACAAACTGTCCGTGAGAACGTCTGGCATATAGGTCACTGTCCTGGGCTGGACGTGTAAGTGCAACCTCATCTCCTGTAAACAGGCAGTAGCTCTTGAAACATTTGGGTGATAAATAGAAATTAGAACCCAGGTGACTTTCCCTTTTTCGGTGCTGACCAGTGTCTGGGATGCTGAGAGCATCCTTTGCTAAGAGTCACTGAACTGCACCCTTGTACATTAGAAAATCTCTCCAGACCCCTGCAGAACTGTGCCTGTGCCCTATCAGTTTGTAAAATCTGCTGCTTTGAAGGTAAAATCAAGGTGCTGTTAGGGGCAGCACCATGGTGAATGCCTTAGTGGACATTAAGAAACATGAATGCAAATGAACCAGTTTTTTTGAGTGAAATACCACCCGATGAGTTTCTTCTATGGTTTTAGGGTAGATGTAACTTTTCATCTTCTAGACTAAGCCTGTGGAAAATGTTTCTATATGTAACAAGCTCTGTTTTGTAGTATACATGTTCCATTTTGGTGGAGATAGTGGGTGATGTCCTGGTCAGTGATTCCACAGGATATTGCTTTCCGTGATCGGATCTGTAAGACAAAGCTGACAAGCAAGATCTGCCAACACTATATTTTAAACACTCTTTAAAAAAAAATTCCTATACATTTGTTAGCTTTTTAAATGTGGAAAACAGAAACATTGAGCTGTTTTGAAGTAGTGTTATTTTTCTTGTTCCAATGAAATGTAGCTTAATAGTTGGCAAACTGGATTAGTTGCTTTTGGGGGATTTGCCTCGAGAGATGAAAGCAGAGGTTTGAGTGTTTGCATTCAGGGTTCTAGGGCTGTGGTAAGGCTGCATAGCAGTTCAGAAAACGGGTGTTTTTAAATGGGTAGGATGAGAAGTGCATTGTGGCACAGAGAAAAGGGATCTCAGGTTGGTTTTCTCATTTATGAGAAAACAAATGTAATTTAGGGAGGTGCCTACAGACTAAATGCTTCTGAAATATTTCATGTGCTCGTGTTTTTTTCTATAGTCTTTAGAAAAGTGTAAATGGTGTTACTGCCTGGTGACACAGAAAACACAAATGCAAAGAATGCAGGATTGGCAAGAAAACTTTTAGATATCCTTGTAAAATGCTTTCCGAGTAATTCAGTCTCACGGTGAAAAGAGTGCGAGTTTCCCTGCTGGCCTACTCTGATGCTTTTTGGTCTGTTTGTGTTTTGAATAATTTTTTGAGTGCCAAATTATTTCTAATTGAATAAGTATTCCACAACATAGTATGCCATAGTTTCTTTTTTGTTGTTTTTACAGCAAAACATCGGACATCAAAAACGTTGATGTAGTAACATCAACATATGTGCATCATCAAGTAAATACTAGCATTATTTTTAACTTCACCGTGAGCCTTAAAAAATTAATTATGCAAAAGTACTTGAAGTGAGGTTAGGTCAGGTTCTTTTATTGCTGTCATGACGTGCCTGCTCCTGTCTGTTAGTGCACTGGGCGGTGTACAGCTGGGAGAAGACTCTTTATAATCTAATTTCTTAGAAAGTCACTATTCTTATAAATTAAAGATTATGAGAGCCACTTAATAAATTTTTATGTATCTATAAATTACTTGCATTTTCTCAAATATGAATTTGCTTGTTAAATTGAAGGATGGCTATTTTTTACAGTAGTAATTCTTCTCCTGTAAGTCAGTAGGACCTGCGCATGTGTTCAAGGAAATTTCTGATCTTCCTTTTAAGAACTACTAATGTTTCTTTCTGTATATTGATAATAATATTGATAATGTAATCTGAATATAAAATGAAACATGCAGACCCAAGTGAATGTATATGAAATTGTTTATACTCAAGCAGAATTTCTTCAGTTTTATATTATTTTGTTAATATGTTTCTAACCTGTCACTGTGTGATCTATGTTGAGCTATTGAGTGTGACCTGAGAACAAGAAATATTTGTGGTATTGTTTCCTTCTTGTCTTTTGTAGGTCTTTTTCCTGCTTTTAAATATTATTAATTATTTTTAAGTAAAAAAAAAAAAAAAAAAATCAACCACCCCTCCCACTTGTAAATCTATATATCCTTCCTTCAGAAACCATTCCTCCTTTCCACTCAGAAGGGATTACAGAATGGTCTTGTTTTGTTTCTTCTTTAGAAGGATACAGTATAGTAATTCTTTTGTGTTTAACAATTAAGGATTCTCTATTGCCACTGCAAAAGGGTGTGACTAGTTTACCCAGATTGGCACATTTTTTGTGCAAATCAGCAAGATCTGAAATCTATGCATTCTTCTTACGAGTATGCGGCAGCGGCTAGTAAACTGCTTTCCAGTTAAAAAGGAAAGCAAATGAAGCTGTTGATGAAGCGAAGGCCTCACAGGACAGGCACTTTTTGATGCAGAAGTTTTGTAGTAAACATGGCAAGACAAACAGTTAAAACTCATTCTGAAAATCTGTTGAAACAGAAGAGCGAGACTCTTAACAGGATTGGCTTTTAGCGGTAGTTTGTGCTAAGAGGAACTTAATGACTTGGCTCTTTTTTGGGTTAGAGGAGTAGTGGGTGACAGCAGTGCCAGGGGAGCCCGGCAGCGCCGGGGAGCAGCCAGGTTTGCCTATGCAAATTTCCAGAGGCAGCCGTGCGTTGTCGGGCAGATCACCGTTGTAGCCTGGTCCAGATGTGTTACGACTCTGCTATTCTTACGGCTGGATTTTATATTTTTTTTTCCAACAGAAATATCAAGCTATATGGTGGCTTTTCTTATTTAGATGAGTCTTATCTAGACAAAGGCTGAGGAGGATTTTTTTTTTTTTGCAGTTGTGGCTGATTCTGACAGTAAGGCTTAAATCTCTAAAGTAAAAAGCTGTAATCAAGCCTATTTGAAGAGGACAATATTTTCTTTCTTAAAAGATGTAGAAGCAAATGAACACAAACTGCTCAATACTGGGCCAAGAAGCACATACACTCGTTAGGTATTTTCACTTTTGAACTTGCAGTATGTGTCTGATCAGGGGAGTGGAACTTCAGTGTTGTATTTCAAAACGCGTTGCTGGTAACACAGGAAAAGTTTGTGATTCATGATGAGTTTAATTTTGAGTTACTTTTTTTGGCTGCATATAGTAGCTTTGCTGTGCCTACTGAGAACTAGCATGGTACCATTAAATTAGCTGTGGATCTTGACAAGGTTCCCTTTCCAGCATATTAGTCCTAGATACTTCAGAAATTTTTTCTAATGCTGCTTGCTTAGCCACAGTGTATCTGTGAAATACCTAAAATGGTAACCTTTTATCTTTTCATCTCTACTCTCATCTAAGGGTAGTTGCTCATCTGCTGTGATACTTTGTGAGCTTTTACACTCAAAACCTTTTCTTGATGCTGTGCTGGGCTTTTCGGGGTCTTTTTCCTTCTGTGTTTGCAGAAGTTCACTAGCATGAATTGTATTGCATGCACAGGTAGTCCATTTTCCACAAATTCCTTAGCTGTAGTAAATGAATATAAGCCTGTGATAAAAGAGTAGCAATAACTTTTTCCCCTAATGAGTGCTGTACTTGTATTTTCAACTTAATTCATCTTTTCCCTCTAAGTTTTTTATTCATATCCAAAGTTTTATACTGACATTCAAACTTTTTTTTTTTGCATAATGAGCTAATTCTGCTTGTTGATACAATATTATAAAAAGTTGGCAAAGTACTGCCTCTGCTGGGTGCCTGTTTATTCAGATACATGGAAGTTGCATAAAGAAGGGGGTAAGGAGGGACAGATCACTTTTAAGCGATATCAACACTATCTTTATAAAACTAAAGTTAAACTGCCTTTTGTTGATGTTAACATGCTGATTACACCTTTTTTTTCCTGTAGCATTGAGAGGATTGAAGTGGCGTTCTAAGGTCATTTAAAATCATGACCAGCTCAGTTGGACAGAAAAAAGTCTCTTCAAGACAAAGGAAGTGTGGTTTTTGTAGATCTAATAAAGATAATGAATGTGGACAATTATTGATGTCAGAAAACCAGAAGGTGGCAGCACATCACAAGTGTATGGTAAGTAACACGGAGGAGAAAGGAAAAGAACCTATCGAGCTAGTAAAAGACTAGAAACAAATGGAGAACTCACCTGTTGTGGCATTGGCACAAACGATTAATCACTGTAATTTGAAATGTTGTGTGTTTCTTATAGATATAAATGTTCTGTATCACTTATACCCTTAAAACATTAAAAAGTTTTGTTTTTATAATTTTAGCTGTTCTCATCTGCACTGGTATCTTCACACACTGATAATGAGAGTCTTGGTGGATTCTCTATTGAAGATATTCAGAAAGAAATAAAGAGAGGCACTAAACTGGTGAGTCTATTTTTGGCTCTTAAAAATGAAAAACAATATTTTCTAACCTTCTATAAAGTTTAACATGAAGTTGTTCAGTACATTATATATGTGTTGTTTTTTCTTTTTTAAAGTGTTACATTTGTGTGAGCTGTAAGGTAATGGACAACTTACAGAAGATGTTGAAGTAAAATTGGTGTCAGATTATGGACAGAAAACCTCAGCAGATATGATTTTACTCCTATTAAAATGAAATTTAAATGTCAGTTAACCAGTCCTTGAAGTCTCTTTAGCAAAGGATGGAAATAATAAAAAGTAGTTTATTTCAGTAAAGTTCTGCTGGCATGTAAAAGTGCTCTTTTAAGGAGTGTAGCTTAATCACAGAATTATTTAAAACCAAATCCATTATTATTATTTTTATAGTAAATTTTTTCCTCACTGGCAAATGTAGATGGCTGTAGCAGGTAGACGTTTTTTGTCCAAGCAAATCTGAAAACTTGTTCACAGAATTTTTCTTTTTGATGGAGTGCATATAAACAATATCGCTTCCTAAATTTATGTTTCTAATCTAGTAATTTGCTGCCAAAACCTGTTTCTAACTACCAAAGATAATTCAATTGCTTCCTTTTACAGTGATTTAATAGATGATTCCATGAATATACATGTCTTATGAGGCATGTGAGTACAGTAGTGATTACAGCTCTACCAAATTCATGAGAATTGAGCAGCAATGACTTTTTTCATTCCTAAGAAGCTTTAAAGCACTTTTACGTATTTACTTGTTCTTGGATTACTCCAAAGTATTATTGTAGAACTACAATTATATAGTAATAGTCTAATAACTTCATCCAGTGGTTCATTTGAAACTTTTAAAATGCAGGGAACTTTATTTGCTCTAATTCGCTGAAACATGAAGAAATAACTACTCACAAGTCATTAATTTTGTGATTAGGAATTTCCAAAGAACACAGTAGCAAACAGAACTACAGATAGTAAAGAAACATCTTAATTCTTGGGTCTCATAAGTGTTTTTTAAAGGTTATTTCTTTTTATGTCATTGGTGGTTTCTGTCTTTCTGCTTCTGAATCTCTTCATGTTCCTTCCCTGATGTGACAGCTGGATATAGTCTTGGGGCTCACTAGCTGTACTTATCGGGCACGTTCAGCTTTTTGCAGAAAACCTGGATCTGGTTAATCTAGTAGATTCACAGTCCTGAGATGTTTCCTATTTGGTGAGGATTTACAAGACTATTTTAGATCTTAACTGAGTCTGTAGCTGTTAGGAAACTACAGCTCTGAATCACTTTCTGGAGGAATCTGCTGTTCTCCATTGACTTTTATAGCAAGCTTAAAGCTAAATGTTTATAATTAGCCCAAATAGCCCCTCTAAATTCTGTTTTCCATTCTAGCCTGTTCTTTTATGTGGGAACACATTGAGCAAAAATATCTCAGCATGGTGCACTGGGTTAAGTAATTATATTGATAGCTTGGACTGAATTTGTCTGCTGGCAGATTTCGTGTAGTTGCCTTCCTTCAGGAGGTGCTGCTGCTGACCTGGTCTGCACTCAAAACTGAGGCCTATTTATTACTGAAGTTCTAATGACTGACTTGTAGAGCCTTTCTGATATCAGATAATATATTTCTGTCTGAGAAGAGTTGATAGGTTCAAACCTTAGCATGCCAGTCATAAAAACTTGCGTAAGTCTAAGTATTTGGGAGAAAGGCACTGATATCTTTATTGTTTCTGTTAGCTGTGCATGGGAGGATTTTTTTTTTTTTTTTTTAAAGTTTACCTATTTTGCAGCCAAATATCATATGTGAAGTGTCCTGATGTAACTGAGGAATGAATTGGTTGACAGCGACCAGTACAGCAGGACTTGCATCAATGGAATAAATATATTATTACTGTCAGGGAACGTAGACCAATAAATCCATATAAAAATTCCAATGGTCTGTTTTGTTCATACAGATATATCACAGTGTTCATAAAAAGAAATTTCTCTCTTGGTAGTTTCTGGCTTTCAGAATGCTGAAGTAGTGACTAAAATTAATTGAATGGATATAATTTCAACCTGTGCTTTTTTAAAGAGCTTTGATACATACAAAAAGCTCTGATTGTCGTGGGAAGGGCTTTTAATGGGAAGTGCTGACATTTTTGGGCAATATTATGTTGGTAAAAAATAATACAGAAAAAAATACTGCGATACTGTTAATGCCTTTCTGATACCATATAAGAGGTGCAGTGAATAATTTAGAAGCATAATTGGTGTATCCTAAGTAATGATGAGTGCTAATATGAAAAGGATTAATTATTGGGAAAGAAGATAAAGCAACAGGCTCCTGTTTAGCCTTTTCTACAATATAGGCATAAAGAACAAAATTTAATATAATTGAAATGTTTATTGTATTTAACAAATATTTCACTAAATTCAGTGTTCTGGGGGAGACTTAAATAACTGTATGGAAAAAAGAGGGAAAGATTTCTGCTGAGGCTGAGGTAAATTTGCAGGTCATTGGTATTTTTACTGCAAGATTCATTGCCAAATGAATGGGTTGATTTTTTTTTCTTTTATTTTCATAATGTAGTTCAGAATTAAACAGGTACAATTTATGATTTTAACCTATTAAATGGTTGGTACAAGCAGACTTTCCTTGGGAGTGGGACATTTAGGTGAATAGTTGTGTCACTTTCAACACTTTCCACAAAACAAATTACTTGTTTTCTTCACTGAATTGATGATCAATATGTGATCGTTGTTGTACTGCTGTGTAATTGCAACAAATTTCTCCTTGATTTTAAAATAAATTATGAAAATCACCTGAAAGCAGGAAAGGTAATGCCACATGCCATTTATTTTGTCACCAGGAGTGGTAACTATATTATCTTTGAACTCAGAAATACTAAGCCAGCAGTAACATGAACTGTGCTTTACTTTCTTTACAGATGTGCTCTTTATGCCATTGTCCTGGGGCGACCATTGGCTGTGATGTGAAAACATGTCACAAGACATATCACTACTACTGTGCTTTGCATGATAAAGCTCAGATAAGAGAGAAACCTTCACAAGGCATTTACATGTAACTATTACTTATTTGCTATGTTTATTTTTGTATTTATATTTCACATTCTTGTTAAAAGAAAATAAAACAAAGCAAAACAAAAATACCCACTTTGGAATCTAAACAGAACTGTTGCAAAAAAAAAAATTCTAATGATGAATGTGGCATTCAAAATTGTGATGTGCTAGAAAAGCATATTTTCACTGCAAGATATGTATATCACTGAGTCTTACAAGTGGGAGAAAAATATACTGGCATTTAAATTTAAAAGATGAGTAAATAATCTGTGAATCGTGACTGACTTGACAGTTTTCAACTACTTTGTTTATAGGATTTTATGTCGAAAACACAAGAAAACTACGCATAACTCTGAAGGTAAAATTATTCAATATAAATTTTTCCCATTGTAGAAAGATACTTGGTTAAATTTAATTTTTTTTCTGGAGAATATAAATGTTTTCAGTAAAAATTAGAACTACATTTTTTTCAGAAGCAGTGAGTTTGGAAGCCCATCTGATTTCTGCAGTTTCTCTAAAAATTACTCATTGAGTGTGGAGAAAAACCTAAACCATAAATTTTAGGATGGTTGAAAGATTTGATGTTCTGTCAAAACAAAGTTTGGGTAGAAGTAGTGCATTCCCTTCTGGGAAGAAGCTGGCTTATATTTGGATTTAAATATTCATAATATTAACATCTGAAATATTTTGTCAGGTAACAGCTGATTTTTGCTATTGCTAATGTTCCTAAAAATTCACTATTTTTTGGAAATGTTAAATGAAGCTCAATGTTTTAAATAAGAAAGTCATAATAGTAAATGAAAAAGTTTGTGATCAGATCACTTATATATTTCTGAGTCCTTTTGATGAACAAAAAAAGCTGTATGGACACGTTTATGAAAAGCTGTGAATCCTCGCAGAGGAGAGTAGTGAAATGCGTGAGGAGTGATGTGCCACAATCGTACATAAATCAGGCTTAACATTTCCCACTACTTGTGCTCTTGTGCATTTCTGCAGGTGGTTTTTTTTTTGTACTGTATCCAGATTTGGTTAACCAAACACTTGTTGACTTTTGGCACTACTTTCAATTGACATGTCATCACATTTAACAAATGAGGAATACATGACTCTAGCAAAGAAAAAAATTTCATAAATAAATTGTCTCTTTCTGCCAAATGTAATTTTAAGGTAATATATTATTTTTATGGTAGGGGTAGTAGGTATATTAGTGTTAAGGTTTGGATATTACTTAAATGTTCAGGAAGATATTGAAGGCAGTAGAAAATCCCAAATGAAAACCTTTTTTTTTTTTTACATCTATTTAAATAATCATTGTCATGTGCTTTGTATAAAACATTGATTTTGCTATTACTAGCTTTAAATAAGGAAAGTAGTGAATGAGTTAATTCTAAAAAGAGACAGGGCACATTATCTTGTAGCTGGGCACTTTGGTTGGTGGTTTGTTTTGCTTCTTAGCCGAAATAGAATATGAAAGACAGATTAAACTCTGATATTTAAGCATAATCATTGTACTTATTCACAAATGGCTCAGTATTTGATTTCTCTTGAAAAATGCCTCCAATTCTGCATGGAGCCTTGTGCCAATGCATGACTTTTTCTGCGAGGAGTCCCTTGCAGGATCTGGACTTGTGCTTTTCTTTAAGAGTTTTCAGAAACCATTCTCTCCCGTTCTATGATGTAATTATCTAATGGCAAATGTTTTTAAATGGATATATTTGTCTGAGAAGATATAACTAGAGTTGTAGTGGCTTTTGTCTTAAGTGTTGATGATGCCAGTTTATTAAAACATTAAACTAGATTAATCCAAAGAGATTTTTAGACTGAGGGTAGGAGAAGGAAGAATAAACAACATAATTCAGAAAAAATGGGGCCAAAGAACCCACAAGTATCTTACTTGGCATTTAACTTTGCACATTCTTGTTTAAAAATATTGAGCTCTACACTTTACACTTCTAGAAATGTGTATCTGTACCTCAATTTTTGTTTTCTGGTTTTGGTTTAATATTTGACCGAAATTTTACACAGTGCCCTTTCCCAAAGAACATGTTCTCTTTTTAGTCCATGCAGTTTAGGGATCTATAGAATATTATTACTTGCTTATTATGGATTGTTGTGGATTACATTATTATGGATTTGATAATGCCAGAAGATGATGCTCTTTTGTGATAGGTCTCCTTTAAATCAAAGAAAGTAAAAATACATATTGCATTTCTTATGGAAATTACTTAGAGCATTGTATGGCAATGATATTTTGCTATGTTGAAAGCTAAACTAATCACCTTTAGTAGACAGAAATATACAGGGTGGTTTTCCAAGTTGAAGAGACTTCGGAGTGTTTATTTCTTACTATTTATATGCTGAAGTTTGCTGAATTAAATGGGAACTAGAAGATTTTGGATGGTGAGAGTAAGCTTTATTTATCTATTTTGTTGGTTTATTACTGGAGAGAAATGTGAGTATCAAAGAAGAATTTAAATGTGGAAGAATGGTGGGGGTGAAACCAAAAAGGACTTGCAGAGAGGAGTAAATAGAGTAGCTAGGGATACTGGCTAACATAGCAAACATATGCAAACATAGCAGTGGTGTTTTTTTTTTTTTTTTTCTTGTTTTTGTTTCATTTCTGTGAATCCTTGCTCTCAGCAATGTTTTCATAACAGAATAGTTAAAGCTTGTCTGTGGTTATGTCACTCAATGTAGGTGCACAGAAACACTGGAATTATCAGTCCTTTTTAATGGAAACTTACTACTCCTGTTCTGGGGTCCTGGTCGTTTTTTTCTTGGTCAAACATCTGGGGTTTTATCCTTTGTTCTCTGTATCCAAATTTAATTGTTGTGGTCCAAATGTTTTTATTATGTCACTTCTGTTAGTGGGTGTTGGAAGAGTTTTTAGGAATGTTTGGTTTGGTGCAGTCCCAAACGGTTTATTTTCTGAAGGCAGTACTGATACATAATAGGGAGATTTTTTTCCTTGGCTTCCCTGGAAAATAAATGCTTTTGAAGGCACGCTTATTCAGGTCTGAGATCTGGCTAATGTACTTTTTGTTAGAAGTTCTAGTTTAAAAAGAATATCTGTTAACTGTTTAGTAACAGTTAGAGAAATTTCCTTGAGGCTGCATGGAAATGTTGGAATTAAAGTTTTCCAATTAAAACCTAATAAAAAGGACCTCTTAGATGTTATTTATTGCTGTCATGAAGTTCAAGTGGTGCAAGAATTCATCAGACTAAGTATCTCTCTACTCATCAAGACAAAATTAATGAGCGATGTGAGTTTATTTTCCTTTAACTGACACAAGTTGCTGAGCTACCTTCTCTTTTCTTTGAATATAAAAATATAAAACATAGCAGAAAAAAAATTGTGCTCTTGAATTTGTGATTTATTTCAGCAGTTTGCTGGGTTTGATTTATTTGAATGGCCTAGCTTTCAGGTGATCCAAAATAGGAAAATTGTATTTCTCCTGTGTTTCTTTTGTGTATAGATATTTCAGAGTGATTCTTGTTTGGTGTGCTCCCTCTAAGTGGGGAAAAGGACAGTAAAAGTGAGGTGCTCCCACGCTTTGTACTAGGCCGCAAGGTCAGCAGATTTGAAGACACCTGCTCAGAGAAACAGACCAACTTACTGAAAGCTTTGTGTCTAGATTTTTGTCTTGCTAGTCACAAATCTAACGAAATAATCTTACCTGAACTTCAAGTAATAGTTTAATTTGTAATTCAGACAAGCTGTCTTAAGTTTTCAGTACCTAATAGGGTACAGGAATTGTTGCCAGTGCTTTCAGACTACTGCAGCTAATTAATAGTTGAATTACTGTTCAGTTTGATACAATTGCTTTTATTCTTTTTGTACAATAGCGTACTGTTGAACTAAGGTTTTGGGACTGTTGGTTGGAATTTATTCCAATGTACTGGAAATAGTTGTTGAAAATTTTAATATCTGGTATCTCCCTGTTCCCTGCAGGTGAGCTGCCCTGGCCCTTGTGTTGAATTTAAATTCAGCTGATCGGGAATAGTTTAATGTAAAGTGAGATAAGAATGTAAATTCCTTCTTCTGTTAAATAGTAGTAAAACAAAGAATAGTGAAGACAGCCTTGTGGCTATCTATTGTTAATGTTTAAAACAGATGCTTGGGAACTGTGGGGTCCGAAAATGAAGTGTCAATAATTCCTGTTGTAGTTGTACTCAAAGCCTCAGGAATTATGTTTCCACAATGGAAATATGGGTATTCCCTGTCTCAGCATCCTTTTCACATTATTCTAAAGATCAGACATGAAATCTGTGCTTCTCATACTGCTTAGTAAGTTGAATCAGGGTAATATTTCTCTCAGGCCTATTTAGAGATGCTGCAATCTATATCAAACCGAGTTCTTTTTCAAAGCGCTGTGTAAGCCAGAGGCTGGCAGGAAAAACATCTGAAACTTTTTGGCATTATAGTTAGGTAACATCCTGATTCATCTTTGGGTTCTGTAATCAGTGCTTGTTCATAGTTGCATTTTCTGTAACACTGTTCACAGCATAAGCTTGCTTAACACTGTATGCTTTAATGCAGCCAGATGTAAAAGTGGATGTCGCTTTCAGTTCAGTGTCATTTCAGCTCTACTGGTGGATGGTAAATTCTTCCTAGACTCTGTTAACTCAGCCTTCTTGTATCTTCTGGAGAATGCTGCTCTGAATGTGGCATCAAATGTCTACATAACATTATGACAGAAACAGTTGGCCCAAGCAGTAAGTTAGCACTCTGATGCAATCTGCTACAGACTAATTGAGGTATTTGGCAGAAGCATCCCAATGGTGTTTTCTCACAGCTAATGGAAAAAGGGAAAGGGGGGAAAAAAGTAATATGTGGTGAATGGTTTGTCCTGTCAGTGGAGCTGTCCTCTGGTGTTCATGTCATAATTCTCCTTCCTATCTAGGAAGGACTTATACAAATAGAAACTTGGTCAGCTAACTGAAAAGCTTTATCATATTGGTTGTCATAAGCATTCTCGTTAGGTGGATAAGCCAAGTGTATTATCTATCTTCAGACTTTGCTGAGGATTGTTTGCTTGAGAAAGATTTATATTGTATGAATAAAATAGTCCTTAATAACCATTTTCTATGTTATTCTATGTTTCTGTGTTCTATGTACTTAATTAAAGAAATAATATCAAGTACTTCATAATATGGATACTGTTCAGTCAAAAATACCTTTTGGACAAGAGTCATCAGTTTCTTGAGGCATCTGGTACTTTCAGAGACACTTTAGTGACAGAACCTCAGGGGTAACTTTATTTTTTTTCCTCTCGTACTTTCTCCAGTTCCAATGTTTTGCATAACTTAGTCTTTTTCCATTGAAATTAAAAAACCTAAAAATTTTATTCAGCATTTTGATTGTTAATGTCACATCATTTACTGATAAAAGCATCTGTTATTTCATGATCAGTTTACCTTATTCTGCATTTTCTTGCAGGGTTTTTTATGCAAATTTCTGGTTTTTATTAGTGCTTATAGATGCATTCGTAGTTTTATTACTGAATACTAACCTACAATAAGGTTTTCTGTTTGGTTCTTTTTTTAAATTTCCTTCCAATTTAGAATGTAACATGTTGCCATATTTATTTGGTTTCAGTCATGTTTTAAAGAGGTCTTACTCTAACATGCTAAAGGTCTTTTTCTGTTATATTCAGTTTCATTTTTTAAAATCTAGTAAGGTTGATTTTATTCTTTGTACTTTTTAGAGTTTCTCTTCTCTCCCAGCTGCACTGTAGAACATTAAATACTTATGTGTGATTTCAGGTTTACATAACAGCATGTCTGAGCCACTTCCACATTCTGCATTTTGGCTTCTTTTTATGTACAGCCCTACTTACAAATATATTTTGCCAGTCAGTTTTGTTTGTTGTCTTCCTCATACAGACTTAGCCCCCTTTGCTTCTGGTTCATTTAGTCTGTTGTTAAGATAATGTAGGAGGTGGATACAGAGAGCAGTATTGGCCTTTATTGTACACATCCTCTTTTTATTTGTTCTTTCACAAACTGGAAAACACTTAGTTCTTTTATGACTTTGCTTTAACGTATCTTTTGGAAAAGAGTGATTCTATGTATATTTCAAGCTGATACAATATAGAATAGACCAGGGATATTTCAACCTCTTCTCTGCCAATCCTTATTTTAAACAGCAAAACATCTCGATCCTTTTTTCTTCTAGTTGTGATCAAAGGAGAATTTTTAGATTTCTCTCTGAAGCTGAGTCTCCTTTTTAACAGTTTATGTAATACAGCATTTTGCTAGTCTTCTTTTTGTGGTACTTAGTACTACTCATGGATTTCTAAAATGCAAATTTGGGGCTTGATGCTGCTCATCTTTTTCCCTAATCTGAATTTACAATTTCGTGTTCTTAGGTGCTTTTTAAAACATAGAGTGTGTCCTCTTGATTTCTACCCCCACCCCTCCTTCTCTTAATACTGCGTATTAAGCTTGTTTTCTCAGATACAGCAGTTAGGGACTTCTAAAGAAAGCTCATAAGATACGTCCTTTGAAGATGTTAGATAAGGTTGAGAATATTGTGACAATTTAAAAAAATCAATACAGTAATGGGATATGGGATGGGGGGCAGCTGAAAAATATCTATGGAATCTCAGGGGATTCAGAGTCTGGGTGATATCCGTGATAAAACTTCATCTGGTCAGGGAGGAGTTGAACAACTTTTTGTGTTTTCCTTAGTTCAAGCTGACATGAGAAGTTGGAAACACTCAACCATCAGATGCCAGGGAAACAGGGTAAGCTGGCAGTGGGCTCGAGGGGCGGGGTAGGGCACAAACCAAATTGTACATTAACCAGTGAAGACCATCCAAGGCAGGTGTATTTTAAAGCTGGTTACAATCTCTTTCTTCCTGCACTCTTAACACTAGCTCATAGTGCTGTTAAAAATGAGAGAAAATGCAACATTTTGAAGTATCTATATTGTAGATAGATGTGGTAGAGCAGATCCTCACATCTCAGTGGTGTTTATCTATAGGTCCATGTCACTTTTAGCAGGAGACCTAACTGCAAGGAATTTTATTTTAATGAAGGGGTCATGTAGCATCTAGATTTCTATGAACTCTGAACTTTTTTAGAAGTACTAGTTTTGAGCACAGAAGAGGGGTTCTCCTTTGAGGAAAGCTGTGCCAGCTTGATGTTCTTTTATCTTACACTGATACCTTCTTTTAAAAATACAGCATTTTTACTTTTCAAATCTTAACTATTCTAATAATTCTCAACTTAAGAGCTTATTCTATAAGGAGGCTGTGACATTTCTTATAAAGAGTTGAGTTTTAGTAGTTATGATTCGCTTCCAGTTTTGACAGTGTGCCTGAGGGTTCAGGATATGCTTTAATGTTATTTAGAAAGTAAGGGTGGACTAAGAGGTGGAAAGCATTATGGTTGGAAGAATTTTTAAGGAGCTTTGGAAAAAAAATAAGGAATGTTGGTGAATGGAATACATTTTGCTTCATCAAATACAGTAGGGAAATGTGTGAAATTATTTTGGAAGGAGCATTTTAAACTTCTTAGTGATGTTATTTAAAGGGTCAGGAATTCAATAGTCACATTTTTCTAAGACTTTTTTTTCTAGAACAACCATCTATGATTTCTAGAAATGTGAAAGTAGAGACAAAGATTCACAAAATTCTTTTAATACACTGGTGGAGGGTTCATATAATGAGGGCTATGATAAAAGAGAATTCTTTTCTTTGAGGCAGGTTTTCAGGTTGTAGTAAAATTTGCTATATGCAATCTGAGAGTCACAATATCTAAATTGCATAATCCTGCTTGGGGAATTTAACAAGTAATGATTAAAGAAAAATAATATTAGACAGTGAATTGTTTGAAGAAAATGTAAAATGTATTGTTTCATTAGATCAGCCATGTCATCATGTATTTTATTTTTTCAGAGTAAAATAAACAGTGCTTTTGTCATCTAATTGGAAAAGACTAGTATGTATATTAAAGTATAGGAATGTTGTGGTGGATAGGTGGGTGTGTTTAGCAGTAACTTGAGAATATGTGTATATAGCTGAATAATCTATCAATTTAAGCCAAAGTAATTTGCAGATTTGTATTAATTTATTTTCTTTTTTTTTTTTCATCTTTCTAACTGTACAGCAGAGTAAAGCTTTGGGGGGGATTATGTTCCTGTATAACCTGTTGTGATGCATTTGGATGAGTTTTCTGTTTTTTCATTAATAAACGTGCCAGAAGTTGTAGCTTTCTCAGGGGTCAGCAAACAGCCTCGACAGACTAAGCTTAATGGGATACACTTGTATGCAAGGCCTCGGGCCAGTAGCTCAGTTATCTTCTACTCCAAGTTCCTGGCTGTGGAATATGTTCAAGTCTTTGACTTCAAACTTTTGTGCTGTTAATCATGAGATAGGAATGTGATTTGATTTTTATGTGATAATGGATAAGAAAGATGACTTCTGGTGAAGGAGCATATAGTCTTAAAGTAAGATGTCGTGTCTGGATCCTGAGACTGTGATATAATGGTGATAAGTGCCATAGCAATGCTTAAATAATAATAATACCACGACAGTTAAGTGGCACATTCATGTTCCAGATCTTCTGATGAGGATTTCCTTCCGTTTGGGGGCTCATACTGATGTTTGTGGTTTGGATTTTGAGAAGCAAGTTCTTCAGTGGTGTGTGTGCATGTTTCTTTAAACAAATCTGCTGCAGTATCTTTGCAGTCTGAGCAGGAGTGGGTGTTACATATGAGAGGAAAAAAGAAGGATGTTCCGGTGAGAGCTGATGATCAGGAAAGTTGCTAGTGACTGAATAGAGCTGTTATTCAATATCAGATGTAACTTCACTAGATCATATTGGAAGCAATCTTAAGGTTGCAGAATTGATCGGCATAAACTGTAGGGCTTTGAGTTATTTAAAGGACAGTCTGCTAGAATGCTGGACTACAGTTCTATGTAGCATGCTGCAGTGGAGCTGACATTTTCAAAGGAACTTGTCAGACCTCTTTGGTATGTCTATATTAAAAATGTATGTTCTTATATTCTTAATGGTCTATAAATACTTTTTTTAGGATATCGTGTAGTGTGGATGATTTTCTGTCAACTAGCAGCTGCTTTTGACTGTAGATATGAAAATATACTGTAACTAAAAAATTTTAGATGTGCTTCATGGAGGCAATATACATTTCAGTGTTAAAACTTGATTTTAATGTTACAGGTAAAATGGGTGATTTTTTTTTTTTCCTTAGGTCAAAAGACACCAATTAATAAAGCAAGGAGAGAGGTGTTATTTAGAAACACTGGCATACCAAGGGCAGTTTGCATTGAGTTACACACCTAAAAAAAAAAAAAGCTTATTTCATGGTTGAAAACATTTTCTGGTTTCAGTGTAGTTTCAATGAGTCTTATTTTCAGTGGTGGTGAATATATGTATCTGAGGACATATTACCATCTTCATATGTTACGATGCAAAGCTGTGTGATGTGTATAAAGCAGTAATGTTTTCAGGATCTGCAGCTGCATGTTTGTAACAAATGGGGGAAAGCTGCTATTTTTATTTCTAAGCAAAACAAAATACAGATTGTTTTTTTCTTGTCTGTTTTCTGGTTTTGGTTTTGTTTATTTGGTTAGTTTTGCACAAATTGTCTGAGAATTTTATTTGATGGTGTTTTCTAACTTCTAAAGCAGATTTAGAAGAAAGTATCAATGAACACGAGTTGGAGCCTTCACCTCCCAAAGGAAAGAGGAGGGGTCGTAAGGGAAAGCCAAGAAAAACAAATTTAAAAGGGCAATCAGAAGACACTAGATCTACGTCCTCACATGGCACAGATGAAATAGAAAGCAGTTCCTATGTAAGCAGTAAATATGCTAAACTTCTCTTAGAAGACAGAATTGCATATTTCTTCTCTGCAAATATAATTTTTATTAAAATTTGCATTTGTCTGAGCCTCCAGCTGGTGGCCACAGGCTTTTAAAATTACAACCTTATTGGTAACCCAGCAGTATATTTTAGTAAAATGTTTTTCTTTCAGAGAGACAGGTCTCCCCACAGAAGCAGCCCCAGTGATACAAAACCTAAATGTGGATTCTGTCATGCAGGTGAAGAAGAAAATGAAGCTAGAGGAAAGCTTCATATATTTAATGCCAAAAAGGCTGCAGCACACTATAAGTGCATGGTGAGTAACAGCATTGTGGTTAACCAGTCTATTCTGTCTGAATTGCTATTTTAGATTTTAATACAGTACCCTCACATGTAATTATGCATGAGCATTGTCTGTGTGCTGATGATCTCTTTAAGCACTGAAGTGTTGCAAAGTGAGCAATTCATTTATTTTCACTGCGGGCAATATGGATAAAAGTTAGCTATGTGCTAAGAGATGGAATTAGCTCAGGGAGACTCTTCAGCTTGTTAAAAAAGCTCCCTTAGCATCTAAATGCATACACAATATTTTAGAAGGAGAATGGAAAACAGTTTTAACTAAAAAAAATCCACTCCAAATATAAAATACATTTACCTTACAGGCATTCGGATAAAATCCAGGAAGAATTGGTGAACTTCACTAGTTTTGTGACTCAAGTAGAGTGGGACATGGAGGTTACAGAAGGGTTGTTCCAAACTCAGTTATTCCTACACATAAAAAAAATTCTAATCATGTTGGTGACATGTTGGTGAAATTATTTTGACTCACTTGTTTTACAGTTGTTCTCTTCTGGCACTGTCCAGTTAACAACAACTTCAAGGGCAGAATTTGGTGATTTTGATATCAAAACTGTACTTCAAGAAATCAAGAGAGGAAAAAGAATGGTATGTATCTGCAGAATGGGATGAATGTGTAACTGATTCTAGTAAGGTGTACATTCAGCTCTGCCTCCTTCCTTTTGTGGAACAATCTCTTCCATCTGTTTCTAAACACAAAATTTAATGTAGTCTTACTTTTGGGAGAGGTAGTCAGATAGGAATCTCCTTAAAAATTAGTGGTGTTTAGGCATATTTAGAGTTCTTTATGACAATGTACATAGTAAATTATTATTAGCCTTCCTGTAGCTAAAAGAGAGCAACAGCTTTGGATCCTGTGTTTCTAAAAGCACACTGGTGTAAAACTACAAATAAACTTAGTGAATATGTTCTTGGAGTGAGGTGTTTCCAATTGTTTTGATGTTTTGATATGAAAACATACTAAGGCCTCAGAGATGGAGATGTTGGTAAAATGTCACCCTGTATTTTATTAAAATTCAGGATGTTTTTAAAGTGATAAGACATTGGCGGGGAAGGGGGGGAGGGAAAAAACTCTAGCAATATTGATCCTTCAAAAAAAATAATTTAAGGTTCTTCATATATTAACATACTACAGTGGCATTAAAATGATCTTGGAAATTCAATAATGCGTGCAATCATGTAGCAATTTGCAGTGCCATGGACAGGTAAATCTCAGTGTTCATACTTTAATGAATTAGTATTACACAGTTTCTGTTTTACAATATCTTTGATTAACTTTTCATTGTAAGGATGATCTGCCAGAGAAATTACTTTGTGCCAGGTTGATAGCCATAAGTAAGAGGAACACTAAACTGAATCCTAAGAGGCAAGAGACTGGAAGGCTGAACAGTGCCATTCTCTTCTTTTCCCTGCACAGAAATGCACACTTTGCAGCCAGCCTGGTGCTACTATTGGGTGTGAAATTAAAGCCTGCATAAAAACATACCATTACCACTGTGGAGTAGAAGACAAAGCTAAATACATTGAGAATATGTCACGGGGAATTTATAAGTAAGGATCTATGTAATTCTTGAATCTGTAATGAAAGTGAAGACATTTCTTGGCACTTTTTGTGCCTAACTTGGCTATTCAAGTATGTTATTTGAATAAAACTAATATTATTTCATTTAAAGTGGTATTTTAAAGTAATTGTTGACTTTGCAAAATATTTCAGTTACTCTGCTAACTTAAAATCTTGTAGTAGTGTTGTTCTAATAGGAGAAATGAGAAAATTGACGTTTTTCCCTCTCGATTAATTTATATTGAGGAAACCCTGGATTATTTGTGTCATGATTGCTCCATATTCATGTGCTTTGTAGCTTATTTCGGAGTTTATTTGGACCCCATAACTTTCAATATGTGCTGGACTGCTGACATCAGCGACTTGGCTGCGGTTGAGTTGCCGGTGTGGTTGTCCCCACAAGAGGGCATTCTCTGAGCAGTGTAGTGGCAGTTCTTGAAAACTAGGATTCATCACAATTTTGTTGGCTAGTCTTCAGTCTTTTCTTTCTCAGTTTAACTGAGGCTTGACTGAAAACCATGAAGGAGTTAAAAGAGTGAGCAATTGACTTGTAGCACGTCTTAAAACTAACTGAGAGGAAAGTCTGGTTTTGATAGCTATTTCCAGTAAGAGTCCTCACTGTTTCTCTTCTTGTGCTAGACTCTATTGTAAAAACCATAGTGGAAATGATGAAAGAGACGAAGAGGATGAAGAAAGAGAAAGTAAAAGCCGTGGCAAATCAGGCACTGACCATAATGACATTCCTCAGCAGCAGCTCAATGGAAACTAGGTATGGAAGTTACTCCTGACAGATCTGGTACCGAGACTGAAACGCAATATACATTTAATGTAGTTTATTGCAGTGAAGTGTTTAAATCTAGTGTATGCAGATAAGTACTTTTTATTGGCATACTGCAGACAAATGGGGAGGATTTGTTGTTTTTTAAATCCAGTTGACTTTGTAACAGCATAAGAAGGGAGGCCCTCATTTCTATCGCTAAATATAGATGCAATGTCAGAGCTGCTAAATGCTTTTCTGTATGTTTTTAAATTTACTATTGTTTTCATCATTTTTTAAACAGGTTCAAGGGACAGAGTTATAGAACTGGGAATGGCTAAGACATCATAACTACTAATACTTTTAAATTGTTTTCTAAAATCAGAAAAGGGTTAGTAACTTTTTACTACCCAGCTCTGTTAGAAATTTCATTGAACTGCCTGAAACGTTCATGTGTGTGAGCCTTCAGTAAGTGGCAGAGTTTTACATGTCAATATTATGTAGTTTGTAGTCTGCAGTGTCTGGAAAAAAAATGAAACACTATATAAATGATATGTAATATGTACAGTGTCAAAAGTTAAGGCAGACATTGAAATGAAGTAAGATCTATATTTCTGGACTGAATAAAAACCTTAAGATTTGGAATGTGTAAGTTGTTTAGTGGATTCATGCAACGAGGGAAGGTCTTAGCTAGTTTAATTAATGGCATGGACAAGCTCGTGGCGGCAGCCAGCTGGTGCTGTGTGACTTTGCTGCGGAGGCTGCCGGAGGGAGAGGCGGGGGGGAGAGCCGCCGCTGGGCTGGCTGGCGGAGCGCACGGCAGAGGGACTGGTGCCGCCGGAGCAGGCGGGAGCTCTGCAGCTCTTCCCGTGGCCTCGCTCCTTCCGCCCGGCATCGCTTGCGGGAGATTACTTGAGCAGCTGTTGGTTCTGAGCTGTGAGCTTTAGAACTCATGCCAAAGGGCTGTAGTTCATTCTTTCCCCAACGACCCACCTCTTTCTGTGTCCCTGATCTGCAGAGAACACTTCAGCAAGTGTGATTAAAACCTTACTACACAAACGTTTGGACTCTGCAGCCCAATCTCTTGTACTTCAGAGAGTTACAACTCTTAACTCGCTATGGAATTTAGCCACCATATCTGATGTCCATACCTCAAGTGTTCTGTGTTGGGTGGAACACTTCATGTTTTGTCCAGAATATGCATAAAGATCCCATATTCTGTAAGAAGAATGAGGAAACAACCTTCTTTGCTAGATTGGTATTTATTTTTTAATCTTATGACCACTATATGAGAAACCTTGTTTATCATTCTTTATTGTTTTAGTGATTATTATTTCTTTCTGTCAAGTCAACAATCATGTCATGGAATTCTACTTGCTAGAGTTTAATGTTCCTTTAGGGAATATTCAGATCTAGGCTATACCAAACCTAACAGATCAGTCCTCTGACTGCTTTCAAAACACCTTGTCATTTCTAATGGCTACGAGCTTCTTCAATTGGTCTGTTAAAGCGCATTCTCAGACTTACTTAAATAAAACCAAAAAGCTGAATCTAGTCCACATGTTTGTCTGTTGCTATCGCATCACCTTATTGTTTGTTTAGGGTTTTGACTTGTTTCACTCTGAACTCCCAACAAAACTTCTGGATTTGAAGGAAGGAAACAAGCAAAATACACTGATTTGACTATAAACTGCTACAGTTTTTCTGTGATTGGTATTGCAAAAGCAGTTCATTTGTAACATGAGTTTCTGTAGCATTTTTTACTTGTATTTTTAAAAGATTTAACATGTGTCATTTGTCTTCTTATGCATTCCCTTAATATCTTGAGGGACTCAATTACTGTATATTGGAGTTTCTAACATTTTACCTGTTAGAATTCAATCCTGTTTGCTGTCCTGGAGAATAATGCCATTTTGGAAAGAACTGTTGCTGTGTACAGAAAATGTTCTGTTACTGCTCTAACCATGTTGCCATTGATAATTTTTATTTTGTGTTTGTAACTTTCAAAATTAAAAGTGTGACTTGAATTGCAGTGACAGATCGATTATTGAAAATGTCTATCAAAGTGGTTTGTTTCTCCTAGAATATGAACATTTTTCAGCCACTCAGAACAGTTTTAGAATGCAAAATAACATCCTTCAATGTTTAAATTACTCCTGGATTTGTGCCTCGGACATGGCTCTCCCATGGAAAAAAGGCACTTTGTTTGCAGCTACTGTATTTTAACTAAGATTGCATGGGGTAGATCTGCCAGCATACTGACTGTATTTGAGACTGAGCTCTAATTCGTAGTGTGTCAGTTGCTTAGTATAACATTCAGTCCAATAATTCATCTGTTTTGAAATAAGTTACCCCATTCCATGCCTCAGAGAACCAGAACAGCACTTTACCTTTGGGTAGCAGAAAAGTAAGTGGCTGGTTTACCTGCTACCTCTTTGTGCTGACATGGCCTGATTAAACTGTCATTAATTCAGAATTCCTGGAAACAAAGTTAAAAGATAAAATCTTTTCTTATAAGCCTCAAATTTGCATAACTGACTTCAACTCATGTATGCTGGGTAAAAGTGCCTTACAATGTAAAAATTGTATTTATATGTTCCCAAGTAGCATCACCTGCTGGGGAGTAATTCTGTTGTGGTGTTAATATTTAGAAGAAATGTACCTCAGCAGTGTATTTACTGTACATCTCTTACGTCCTTAATTGTAGTTTTAAAAAGCATGACAATGTATGATAGTATACAACATTTACATCATTTTTTAAAGACAAAATACTGCCATTACTGTCTTTTTATGTGTATTTTAGCTTGGAATTTCAGACCGTCTGAGTTTTTTTTTTTATTGGGTAAAGCAATGTAATCTTTGCAAGCATATATTGAAGATTATTCTGGAGCATCTACTGCCTTCCCAGAAATGTTAGAAGTAATGAAAGTGCTCTATAGGTGAAATAGGTATGTTTAAATTAGCTAGTTAAATTAATGCAGTCTATTTGTTACTGAGTTTTTTTTTTTTTAATAGGCACCTTCTGCTTTCATCTCACAATCAGAGAACTCAAGAATTTAACAAAACTTGTCTTATGAAACTGGTTTTACTTTAATTTTAATTTTTTTATTTTTTTGGCCTTTGGGCACTTCTTTTGCTCACAAGGGTAGTGTGTGCTGTTTAAGATACCTGGAACCCTCTGAGAAGGGAGGTTTCTCCCCAACTCACTGTATCTCTATATTAACAGATCTGCGATTGTGCTGTACCAAGAAAGGACTGTACCAAGGAAGGACAGGCATCAGAAGGATATTGTTCAAATAACTTGAGGATACAGCTGGTGTAATGCCAGAGTCTCAAGGCGTGATCAAACACTGTAGCAGTAAGCTGTGCTATCACTCCATTTCAAGGAAGGGTGAAAGGCCAGTTCAGTATCAGTGCAGCTAGGTAGGATGAAATAGATTAGGTGATCAAAAGATCTACTCATTCAGCAGGTGTGGAATAGAACCGCCATTCCACAGGAGGTTCTGTGATAAGGCTATAGCAGGAGTCACACCTACACTCCACATGGTGTGATTGTTAGGTACAAAGAGCAGTGCTGATCTGCAGTGGTGTGGTTATACTGAATCTGGCCCTAAAACATAACGTAAAGGAAGAGCTCTTGCTGCTTACTGCTGCCTAAATGACAAATAACTTCAGGCTAAACCAGAGTGAAAGATGGAGAGGTGATAATCTGTTTGAAATATCAGACTTATCTGGCAGGTGATAATCAGCACATTCCAAAAGTATTAATAAAATGAATCAGATTGACAAGAAAATTAATCCTCATTAGATGAAATTAATCTTAAGAGAACTGAAAGTACATTAGAGCAAATAGCAGCTCTTCTTCCATGTCACCAGAAATGGATTCCACTGTATTAGTAGTGATGGAGGTTAAAAAACAGAACCAGCTCTTGATTTATATATTTGTTGAAGCAGTTTCTATATATGCATATGTATGCACATTCATTAGTCATCAGTGACATCTCAACCCTTAAAGAATCCTGGAGAACTGTTGCTTGTCAAAAAGCACTCAGGTTAGGCTAACATTTGCAGCTTTTGCTCTAGCATACATTTACATTAGGTGTAAAGACAAGGAATGTATAGAGAGGGTAAATGCATTCCTATCTACAATGTTCTGTATATTTTGTTCCTGTTATATTGGCTTTACTTCCAAAGTTGTAGTTTGCAGTATTAGTTTCTTTTTATTGGTATCCTTGCATATATATATATTCAATAAATGAGTTATGAATTTCATATGTGCATATCTGTCCTTTTTCTGAAAGTATAACTTCTAAAACTGTCACTTTAATTTGTAAATGCAGTATTTCCTATTGAAATTGCAGGCCCATGAAAATTTTATCAGGAGAGAAATGAGAGTGCCTGCTTATGGTGTGCCACTCACAGGGTGGTAACTGTGTGTTTGTGTATTCTGTGTGCGACGGGAAGCTGCTTTGCATTTACCACTAGCTGTTAATGTGAGGTGACTTCACTCACCGAAGGCTCCCATTCTCACCTACCAAGAAGCTTTTTCTTTTTCAAGAGCAAATTCATTTAGACCAA